GGTGGAGGTCGATTCGAGAGCTTTTCGAAGTGATCAGCTCATTGTTTCCTTTGTTCCGCCTCTTTGCTAACTAGCCTTCCTTCACTATCTTTCATTGGTTCCATCTGCGTTGATCTCCTCTCTCTCAGATAGACAGTAACCTGGTTGGTTGACATGGTGTTATCAGGTCTGTCTATCTCACCCACCTGCAGTCTGTTCTGCTTCACTTGGCCAATGTATCGTGGAGGTGTCTTTTGTCTTTGCTCTCATTCTTCTTCCCTTCTTTGTCCAGTGTGGTGTTTTATTCGTTGTTCGTGTTCAGTTCCTCTTTTCTTTGTTCATCCCTGCACCACACCTCACCACACCACACTGCACTGCATTGTACTGCACTGGTTCATCTTCTGCTCGACCATCTTACTCCCCATGCTCTATCATCTTCCATGTGTCCGTCGAGGTCCACTCATTGTTTCGTCTTGTCACATCTCGCTTCCCACTCCTTCCAATACCGTTATGCTGGTTTCCTTCCACATCTCTCTCAAGGAATTCTAGCTTCCTTCAGCCATGTTGCCTAACATCTCCCATTTTGTCCTCATCACTGGCTGACGTGAAGATGTCTCTTGTGGTTTCATCTTTACGTTTCTTTCTCTTCTCGGTGTTGAACGTGAACTGTGGTCTATCATCACCAACTTCTTTCTATGAAGACGTTCAACTTCAATTTGAAGGTAGGTTCCTTGCACTAGATGGTGAGTGGTGTGAACCCACATCTGCTACCCGTCTTCTTCTCATCTTATGTCCAGTAGGCTGACTGCGTCTCCACTTTCTTCACATTGAGATGAAGTCGATGTGATTTTTTGTGTGGTGTGTCCATCTGATGAATGGTGAAATCAAATCCATGTCGCTGCCTCCTGAATATCCTTGTGTTTGTTTGTACACACTGCCTCCAATCACCAAATCGTTGAATGTGCAGTAGTCTGTAGACAGTTCTCCATTCTCATTCATCATTTCACTGATCGCTTCTCGACCCATGATTGCTTCCCTTCCTGTGTTGTCCACTCCTAGTTCGGCATTCATGTCGCCATATGACCTGGTGTCTTATCCATTACTGATTGCAGTTGTGTGTAGAATTCCTCCCTCTTCTCTTCATCTGCATTATTTGTAGGTGCATAGCGTCTGCCAGCATTGTATGATTGTGACCTTCCTTCATTTTGAGTTGAATCCATCTTTGTGTCATGATGCTGGAGGAGGAGATTGGTTGCCACTGCATTAGAAAGAGAGAGAGAGAGAGAGAGCCTTCGATGCTGTTGGGAGGTGGACATCATGATAACCACTTCACAACTCAGTGTGTTGGTGTAGATAACTGACTGCTTTCCAGTTGACAGTTTGGAGAGTCCACTTCCATTCCATCTGCAGATTCCTCGCACATTCCTAGCACTCCTATGCCATACCTTCTCATCTCTTTTGCAATCTGATCAGCCTTGCTAGGTTTATACATGGTGGTGTGGACATTCCATGTCCTCATTTTCACTTTCGCTTTCATCGAGAGAGAGAGAGAGAGAGAGGAGACACACGTGTTAATTATCTTTGCGAAGGCTTTCAGCAACCGGTGTCATTTCGTTTGCCTGATTCCAGCTATGAATGAGTTTAATTTTCTGTTTTATATTTTGTTTGTGCTTTGAAATTTCTTTATCGGTTAGATTGGTTTTCTGGGGTAAGGTTGCTAGCCCTATGATGAAAATAAGTAATGAAACTACTTCAGAACTTGTGATGACGTTGAAAACATTGTACCAGCAGATAAAACGTTCAATGAAGACAACCATTTTAGCAGGCCTTTCTTTTTCACAGCTGCACAATAAGCATTTTCCTGTCTACTAGATTTTGCAGCTATCAACATCATTTTTGTAATATTTTCAATAGCAAGGACGGATTTAAATAAATGTATTACTTGTCAACAAGCAAGCGGAAGTGTGGTGAAAGATGAATATTAGTCCTGGGTGAGCACAGATACTACGAAGATAAACATGTATGTAGATAAAATTACTCAATATGCCGAGAAGATTTTTAAGACAAGCAGTGATCACAGGAATCATGGAAGCAAACTGAAACTTAGATTGGTTTACTGAAAGTAAAAAAGTTACTGAAAGACGGTGATGACTTTTAAAACGGGTAATTGAAATAATTTGCTGAACCGGTTTCTTTCACGTACATAATTCTGGTTTCTTGTCGTATATGACAACTGATCCTTCAGTTTAAAAGAGCCGGATTGTATATGAAGTTTGATGGAACGTAGGTTTTAGTGGTGCGATAGGTGCTTATGAAGCGTAAAATATCCCATTTCTGACAGATTCATTGACAATTTGCAGTCACAGTGCACGGTGTTCACGGATGTGTTAGAAAAAAAGTGTTCATTTAACTACTGATGTGGTTATCTGAACAAAATCAGATTAACTCATCCACAAGCAGCGACAAATAAAAATGAGGAAGTCTTTCTCTGAGGTTGTTATGTGGCATGAAATCACTGAAGAATGGTGTTTTACGTGTTGGTGTGAAGAAAACCACTTATCGAATGATAGAATATTCTTCAGTTCTTTACTGACGTCCAAATTCATGTAGAGTATATTCTTTTCCTGTGCAATAAAACTTAATCACTTAAGATTAGGGTCTGAGAGTTTGTCTTGAAATCTTGCAGCGTACGTGACTTCTGATAATATTTCCTGAGACTTATAAGCTCTTATATTGGGAGTAATATCTTGTCCGAGTTTCAAGAAAATATTAGGCATATGATTATTATGGCTATTAATTTTTTATACACAATCCCTATGGCTCCTTAGCATTGCAGTGCCAACAGATGTCTCCTGTGACAACTGTTCGTTCACTTCACAATGTCATGACTTAACTTTAGTGTGTGGAGTCATCATCATCACTTCGAACATCCCCCCCCAAATCTTATACTTTTCCATTCGACCTGTAAATGTTATTGATTTCTATGTCTCAAAGTCTCAATTTATCTCATAGTTTGTACTCTTTTGTATGTGTTTTCCTGTATTGCATCATGGCCTACATGATCAGGTATGCAGAATATTCAGTTAATGATTTCAAGAGATATTTATGAATTCATTACATCCCACTGTCTACATACTTTTGTATTATTTGAAATCCGTGTCGGGAAACAAGTGTTTTCTATTCTCTAGTTAATGTGAATTCCTGGTAAAAAGTGACTTGAAAGCTACTTTAATTGTTTAGGCCAACTTTAAACTTTTTAAGTTTTGTAAGATTAGGATACATTTTTATGTGCAGTTTTTACGAATATAAGTGAAATTCCATAGTTTTCCAGTCTGTACAATACATCTTTTATATGTAAGTTGTATGAAAACAGTGCACAGTCAGTCAAATCACAAAAGTAAAATTCCTGTGTAAAAAAAAGGCCGAATAATATGTGCACTGTGCAAACACAGGCATTCTGTATTTATACTTCACTTACTTGATTTGCTGCCCTTTGCTGTTTATATGCCTGTTCATCAGTTCATTTCTACTAGTGTGTCCATTTTAGAATAAATGACGCAATACAACCTTTCCTGCATAAATGAGTGGAAGTATATTGAAATTTTCGTCGATATGTATTGTTAGATAGTTATGTGTCTACACAACATTTCGTCATATTCTGTCATTCCAAGTGATACATAATTCTGTCCTGAAAATTTCTATGTTTTTTTGTGTAAACTGAACCTCACCTTTGACTGTACTTCAATCATATATCCACCATTTATTGTCTTTTCTTTCCCGTTGGACGTAGGGCAGATAAAAAGCAATATCAGAATGCTTTGAAATCGCTGGTTTCTGTTAAAATAAAACATCTATTAGTGCAGTCATCTTCCTGAGAAAAAATATCAAGCATGTATCAGTGTTACAGACCTGTTAGTTTGTAATTTTTTACTTTAGGCTTGTTTTTTAAATGTGTTTTGGTAACAATGATACCATTATGTTATTACAGATCCAAGCGAACCTAAAGCTTCTGTTCATCTCATAGACAATCGTACTTTTCCTGTCCTCTTGTTATATATTCTTATTCAGTTCAGACAGAAATACATAAGGTTGATGAAATATCCAACTTTACCTTGCAGTAAACTTTGAGACAAATCACTTATCACTTGGACCAAGTAGTATTCTTTCTACTGTTTCTCGTAACAAAGAGCAGAGCCTTTTCTAACTGCTTAAAGCGTTTTACAGGATTTCCGCCAAATATAAATTAATTTATGGATTAACATCTCAGTAGTACTTTACTCGTTTATGAACTGCGTGTGAATCGATTCAAGTGAAATGGTATCCAACCAACAATTCTAGTCGAGATAATGAGGCTATTTCAGAGTGGCGGCTACTTTAAAGACCACCCTAGCAAAGACTGAAACAACTAATTAGATTTTTTCATTTCGATAGGGAAGGCAGATATTCATAAAACAGAAAAGTGTAATTGGTTATTTCAGTTGTTGCTGGGGTGACCTTTATGCTTCACCCTATTCAAGGGTGCTTTGCGGTAAGTCACTGTATCTCAGTTAATATTAGTGTTCCATTTGAAAACTATTGTCCATATCCATACTTCATTGAACTTCATTTCGTTTAGTTAGTTAGACTAAGTAATGCAAGAATTCAAACTCAATTAACAGCTCATATCCATTTTATAAGATTTGCCTGCGGCAACTCTGTCGCCTAGTGAATATTACTCTGACGCTTGCAGCAAGAGGCGCTAAATTCGAATTTCATTTAAAATATCAGCAGGTGACTTTAAAAGCTATTCTAGTAACGATCGAAATAACCAATTAGGTCTCTGCATCTTGACTAGAACGGCAGGTTTTTATTAGTAGAGAAGTCTAATTAGTTATTTCAGCTGTTGTTAGGGTTACTTCTAAAGTTACTCTTATCAACAGTAAGAAACACAAGCAGATGGTATTCTTGATTCGCAAGTAAAGTGTTATGAAAGCCTAATTTTCCTATTTCCTTTTTGTTGTAACCAATCTTTTCTTTTTTAGTTCAGTTGTTGTGGTGTTACTTCGGCTGCTGACTATGGTATGAGAACTCCACCAAAAAGTTGTACAGCAGCAAAATCTTCTCGACCGTTCCCTAGAGTGAGTTTTTCACTTGAATAGTACTATCGTTTCTGATCCTCTTTTCTTTTTGCCTTGCTTATATACTACATAGAAACAGCTGAGACAAAACTTGTCTAGTGGTCATAAATAGAACTGATGCGTTCAAGGAGGATTCGGTTAAACCACTGTAAGGGTCATGACGAGTAGCGTAACTCATTAAAATCGCTTTTGTTTATGTATTAGATAATGAACCATACTCAGTGTAATTAGCAAGGGATTACGGCAGGTATTACCCAGTTATAAGGTTTGAAATTTATTATGTAGCACAGTGTTTCACGTTCAAGTGTCTAGATTACTGCACTACATACAACTTATCTTTTTATTTATTGCTGGTACGATTTCAAATGTTCATTGGTGAAGTGTATGGAAAAGATTATCTGGAGTGTGATGACCAAATAGAGTAAAGTAGTTTATTCGCGAGAAGATAAAATCCAAAATCTTGCATATTATTAGTGCCAAATGGTAGATCGTTCTGGATAGGATGGTCGGATTGTTAGCTGAAGATGATTGGTACTGTGGATAAGTTTGTGAATACAAAGGTTGAATATAGACCCTCAGCTGAGCTTTAGTATTAACCGATGAATTTCTTTCAGCAGGGAGAGGTACAGTTAGTTACTGACCGTTAATTGAACGGTAAGCTTTTTTGTCTGTTAGTTAATATTTCAAGAGTGCACCATGAATTTATATTTGAAAATCAAATGATGAACTTATACTTAAGTGGGGATAGTAAAAACGACAAGAACTTCCAAATGATATCACCACAACCTAACCAGTTATGTATGGATTTGTGGGTCGAAAACGTGTCAGAATTGACTGTTTAGAACCCGGCTTTGAAAATATGCTTAATGTAACTTGATTCTGACCCTAAATATCACTTATCACATATCACATTTGGGTATTAGACTGTGTCATATAGTTGTGTTGTTTGTTCATTAGCGAATTTCTCCTCAACGAATAACCAAGCATGTAACGTGAATAAAGTTTACATGTATGAGCATACTCCAACTGTTGTTTTCTAACTCACAATAGCATTATGTCTCTTAAGAGTTTACTCAGTCTCAGAACACTAATCTATATGTCAGTCCAAAATAGTGACACACTGAGAGGTAAAAGTTTAAAAAACTCGAGGCCAATCGATACCCACTGTGATATACATTCAGATAATGTTGTTTTTCAGGATGCTCATATTTATCTCAGAAGTGTACAAAATCTGCTTGAAGCATGTCACCCTTAACATTGAAATCATTTGTTTTTAATATATTCTTCTCAGTAATTTTGTATTGTTGCACTCGAAATATTTATGATTGGTTGTAGGAAAGTGGCATCGATGTACTAATAAGTTCGATGGATATTGAGTCTTCTGATAAAGTCAGATGTCCTATAGCCATTTATTGCTCATGATTCAAGCCATTAGGATGTTAATTATTAGACCATTACTACTAATGCAAATATTACCAGCTGAGTTGTAGAATGACAAGGTGAAATAAAGCGAAGGATGATGACTAAGAATGAATCATAAACAGACTTTTTACAGTGGTAGCTATGGTAAAACGGGTGGAGCTAGTCAGCTGTTGCGTGAAGTCATACCAACACGTAACAGATACTGTTCTGATTGACAATCAATTCATCACTTGTACGTAAGCCAGATTTATGAATGAGAATGTCTGTCAAAATAATTAGTGGTTAGAAACGATGATAAGAGCACTGAGCATTATTACTGCTCATAAAAATCTCCAAACTTTATGCTCTTGAAGATCTAAAAAACACATTTTTGGGTTGGATCACATGGAGTGAAATGTAGAGAATGTTTGATATTTTGTTCTTAAAATTTTTATGATAAACTTATGACGGTATACTTAAAAGTTGAGGTTTCTATATCTGGAACTCGTAAAGTTGGTTGTCTGAACGGAAGTGTACAACCTCCAAGATAAAACAACACACATTATCAAGATGAGACACAAGTCTGCAGACGGATTACTATACACTTGCATTCAAGTGTGAAAATGGCTGAGTATCTAGCTAGATAAATCCTAAAGTGTAAGACCAAATAAATTCATTTTATAAACAGTCTACTCGACTAGCTCGTTAAGAATAGCGGAATTGAAAGTGTTTGATAATCATCACGTGTTCATGAACATGTTTTGTACTGCCTTTATTAGTGAAGTTTTCTGCCTAAAAAATGATTTTCAAGAATGTATAAAATTGTTAAAGTGAATGAATGATAGGCATATCCCTGATATCAGAAGTTAGAAAGAGAAACATTGCAGTTGTTGCCTGTTTTTCAGTAGCTTATAGAATGGTAACAAAATGCAAAACAACCTTGTATTAACTTATTGTGCTTCACGGTTCATTGAAGCTTATGAATGGCACTATGAAGCTGTAAGGACGCTTTGTATTCATTAGATGTGTCTGCCATTTTGAAAGGACTGATGCTCCTTCAAAGATTTGGAAACTCGACGTCGGACGATGAAGTCATAGACTCAGGGACTGCGACAACAAATATGTTAACAAAAATTTGGAGTAAATAAAAACAACATTAATTTGATATTTTGGTGTTGCTTTTATACATAGTAATTATATTCTATGGCAGTATTTGGAATCAGTAATCTTGTAACATGAGGTTCATGGATAAGAAATCTTGGATACAGCTAAAATATTAATCTGTAATCGAAACACATATTGTCTCATTTAACAGAAGGTGATCTGCTGCAGACGACAACGCTGTTATATAAAAATGACATTTATGTTAGGAGTTAAGGTTGATCAGCGTTTGCCCTCTGTGGTCTTTACTCAGAAATGTCGACTTAGCGACGAATCAGGTACAAAATAGGTTTTGAAAAATATCTGTGCATTATAGTTTGATTCACCTTGTCGATGACATATCTAAATTGTTGAAAGCTGTTTTTATTTAGCTGGAAAAAAATACATATTCTACTGTTCGTTCACACAGAATGTTCTGAGATCGCCAAGTTTTTTTCCATGCTTATTCGAAGACAGAAGTTGACTAGGATGTTTTTTTAGTTTGTAGTCTGAGTGCTGAAAGGAACCACCGTTCAGACGATACTTTTCTTCATATATGTTTACGTTAACCTTCCATACATGGGAACTGTGGAATGTTGCCCTTCAGTCTGTTGTGCAATCACGAAGTCACTATGTTTTATTGTGTTTCTTTATCGAATTAATACCAAATACATACAGTAGAAATGATTCTGCACCTGTCCCAGATATATGGAAAATTCTGCTACCCTTGTCACAATGAAGGAGAGAAGTTTAGAACGATAGAAACTATGTCTCAAAGTTGTGGAGTTACATGGTATAAATATGAACAATAAATTATATCTGAAACGTTATCCAGTAAATGATACTGATTCACTGTGTGGCATTTCTAATAAGCGGACTAAAATGAAATTTATCGTATATACTTGGAATAAGTACATAGAATTATTGTCCCTGAAAGCAAGTGGAGATTACATACTTTCCATTTTGGATTTAGTGAAGAATGAAGCCTAAACTGTGAGAGTGTAGAAGTCACTGTAAACATCATAAGATTACTTTGGGAATCAGTTATGAGGTTGATACTCGCATTCACATGAATCCCTGTGAAAGCTAGTAACCGCATGCTTGACTATTTCAAAGACGCACAAGATATCTTTGTGATATATTATCAGCATCTAATTATATTATCACTTTTGTTTCTGAACCTAAAGTGGCTGACTTAGAAGTACTAGAAAAAAATAAGTGTGATCTGCATAAAGTTTCGCATTGATATGCATGTTTATATTGGTCACTAAACAGAAAGAATAAAACCAAGAGACAGGAATATGTTTGATGTTCTTTTCATTTATCTAAGTGCACAGATAACTGACCATCTGATGTTGATCCGTCAGTTCAAAAGCTTAAAAGATAATTTATCTGTCTGATACCGATTACTCCTGTTTTGTTCATTACATAAACGATTTAATAGCAGTTACATGCTCCAAGAAATGAATTTTTTTACATATTACATTTGGTTTCATAATTATTTATTCGAAGGGTTGCCATGAAGTGCTTGTGGAAGCGTGCAGATCCAATCTGTCCATAATATGTGGAGTTGGAATAAGTTTTGCAATAATTCTTGTAAGTTATTTTCATTGCATTTTACTAATTTTCTGCTTAAACTGTTCAAATTAAGTAGCAAAGTAAACATAGCTTCTAAAGTTTATGGTAACCATGTTTATCTTTTAGGTAAATTCATGGGTCTGAGGTATATATATATATATATATATATATATATATATATATACAGGTTCAAATGAATGTCAGCTAGACTGTCAGAGTTGACGAGCGCTGTGATTAGTGTGGAGACCCAGCAGTTTATTCATCTAGGTGGTATTTGATGAATGAACTGTTTTGACCTCAATATTCCATTTAATTCAGTTAAGGTTACTCTCTCGCGATCCAGTAGTCACTACTCTTTTGAAGGGATAAGTAATATAATTCATAAAAATTCCATCCGGTTATGCACTCAGGGGGGTACTTGTCAACTGTGGCGTATTTAATATACATTTCAAGTTAGGAAATTAATTTTCACTGCATTGTAGGAGAATCGTAATTTTGAGGAACTGGATCATCTGACGTTTGACAGACTGAGCGAATAGTTGATGATGTGATAGGTAAACGAGAGCTAGTGGTGTCTCTTAATCGATTAAACTTATTCAATCGATGCATACAGACAGATCAATAGAGAGGTTGATACAGAAGTTCACTGTCTTCATTAAACTTTAATTAACACAGGAAGAGAAGGTGAACAGAAATGGAATGACATATAAATAAAAAAAGTTCTTAAAAAGAGAGAGGATGATTAAAGGAAAATAATGGAAATGTTCGAAACTCGGAAGATGATAAAGATTAGATAAATCCTCGCCACGATGATTGATTTAGAGTTATATCACGACCATTAATTCTTAACATTTCAAGCACGAGATTCAGGTAGCCTACATGTTTACCAGTAATCGGCATCATATCTTGTTTCATGCAGCACACACTAAAGCCAACTTAATCAGTGAACGTTCATAACGTCACTAAGTGCCTTACGTTTATTTTCCAACACTTCGGACTAGGGCACAGCATTATTTATTGTGTTGTTGGATCACGAATGTGTATTGATATAAAAGAACCTATGATAAAAATTCACTAGATTCTTTAGTTCCTCCACTCATAGTGGGAATGTGTGACATCCTTAGAGTAGGGTGATTCTGAATTTTGTATAGTACACTATCAACCTGACTGCCAGGCATAGAATCATGGGGATTAGAGGCGACAACCTGGTCTTTTATATCTTTATTGAGATGACTGTAGTACTTTATTTACTTTTTCCGGTTTAAGTTTCACCCAGCATATTCTTCACAGTAGTTTTCCTTTGCAAGGTTAGTTACCTCAGAATAATGTTACTGTATTTCTCCCAGTTATCGACGTATCAGTCTACTAATAAACTATATTTGTTGAAATTTTTATTCTCCCCAAGTATGAATTGTGCTTATGCGTCAAACCACTTTGAGGTGATTTCAACTAGTATTCATTCCTATTTTTATTACTCATATATGTTAGCCGTCTTCTATTAGGTGGTATCTTTTTGAATACACTAGCATCTAGTCGGAGTGACTTTAAAGGCCACCCTGGTAACTACGGAAATGACCAATTAGTCTTGGGTATTTCGCCTGGAAAAGTATTATTCCATAAAACGAAGGAATGTAGTTGGCTATCTCATCAGTTGCTTGAGTGGCCTTTAAAGTCAATCTTTATTCTATCTGGAGGTTTGTGGAGGTGCGCACTGCTAAGGAGTCCCATACTAGGACGAATAATCTGGGCAGTGCTCCCAGGTTTCCAACGTTCCTCCGACTGATGTCAGTCCATGATAAATTTCAACCTAAAATCAACCTTTAATTATATATGAAAACAACACATGTGTATAAATATTTGAGGGTTACAATGTAGTTTTTTACTACTATAAGTGAGTCACCCAACTGTGCCATCCAGCGATATTCATCATAAGCTGGAGGAAGGAAGAGTTCAATAGAGGGTGATGCATTATTTGTTGGACAAAAGATGTTGTTGCTTGATCAGCCATCTAATATCAAGCACAAAATTTAACCCCACCTAAAATCATTCAAAAACATGGGTGGATGCTATTAGAAGGATTAGTTTCATAAATAAGTCTGTCCACTGTACAGCTTGTTATTGATCTTCAATAAAATATGGTGGTTCAGAGTTTGGAGGTGTTTAGTCTGGTCTCAAGGTACAACCGAAACACTAACCACGCGTTGCAGATCGACTGGTCGTACTTATTCGTAATGGAAGGTGAATACGAATTTTCGGAAAGTAGAATTGTTACTGATCAGTCAAAAGACGAAGTGGAGAGTAGTTATTCCCTTTAACTGATCAACACATCAAACTTTACAGAGGTTGCTTGCAGAGAGAGAATAACATAAAACAGCGTGTAGTGTAACATACACAACGTTATTTAAACCAGATAGCAAGAAATTATTCATTGCAACATGCTTTTGTTTTCATTTCCAAGCATTCCAATTATTCATTCGCTCCTTACTATCACAGAACGCTTAATAATCATAACCATTGCACAAACAAACACTAGTACTACTGCTTTTTTATTTAGTTTGACATGACGGTTCACAATTATACCTAAGCTAAGACAGTAGTATCGTCTTTCATAGGTTATCTAACACATATTGCACATACATGATTTAAAGTGGACCAGTTACTCGAAATATTTGTATGGAACACCACTACTATCGTGAAATCTAATTTTGTCACCTTGTTCATATCACCCATTTTTCCTGAGATGTGATCAATTCAATCATCAGCTATAAAATCAACAATCTTAATGTTTGCTGACATAATCCTGAAAAGCTGGATGATGGAGGTCATTAACGGGGAAAGAAATGAATCTAACTCAATGAAATGTATGATTGTGAATGAAATTCTGTGCAGTTCCATGGCGCCGTGGTTGTGTCAGCAGTCCAGCAACCACGTAGAATAAGAGACGCCTAATTGTTCTTTTAACCTACTCACTGGTTGATTTCAACCTCATTCTTTGAATTCAGGTTCATTTACCGAATGGCAAGGTGTATTTCTTCATGCTTGTGGGGCGAAATGTTGCTTGCAGAATGAATTCTTAAAATTAGATAGAGCTTCATGGAGATACTTTCTGAGATACGCTAGTTTCAGGAATGGTGTTACTGAAGAGATTTTGCTATGATATCTGTCAGTGTTTCATAAAATTGGAATGAAATATTCTTGTTTAGTGAAACAAAGGATGAAAGAATTGGTTGTGCTTATTCAAGTGGAAAGTAAGCAGGTGAACTGGATCTCATATCGAAACATAGTTGATTGACTTCGTTCATTTTCGCATGTCAAACTCAAGTGTATTACGAAGGCTATAGAAATGAACTTCTCATTTACTACTAATCTGAGATAGAAGCTTATCACGAGACATCTTTGGTATTCGTCATAACGATAGCTTGTGAATTAAATAATGAGTCTTGCAACCATGGTTAGGCGAACTGAATTTCAGGGTAGATCCGCCTTTGGTCAGTTAGCACGAAATTCTCATCTACGTAATACAATGAAGTCAGAACGGATTCGAGCATATGAAAATTATGAGGTGGGTGCATGCTATGGGTGGGCGCGTACTGCCGAGGAGTCCCATACTAGGACTACACAGATGTCCAGTGCTCCCAGATTTTCAATGGCTCCCCAACTTATGTCATCTCATGATGAATACTTCCTCCAAATTATGGATCATCGTCAGCACAAATAAAACCCACACCAATACTATTCAATAAATACACTGTGAATGCAAAATCAAAGTCAAGACAGTCAGCCAAAAATATCACAGCTGTTATTTTCTCCTTCATTTTACCAACACGTTTACCAATTAGATTTACACAGTTGTTGCTCTTGAAAGTGTTGAAAACAAGGCTACAAATAATTAAAAATAATGCTTCACCGTGTCATTCAAAATGTGAAAGGGTCAACCTCACTCCCACACACAAATTCATCTCCATTCGGAATGTGTAAATCGAATCAATAGAGGGTCATCAGGCCACTGAGTAGCAGTAATTATGCTTGTAATATTCAAGTAATGTTCCTATACATGTCGGCTGCAATTGTGATGTGAAAAATGCCGAAACGATTTCCATGTTAACCAGTGTAGTCATTTGTTTTTGGTTAGAATGTGAATTTCAGGTCATACTGGTAAAATACTAGATAAAATTAATCCCGTATTAGAGACTGGAAGTAATGATCATGTGAAAATACAGTGAATTCACTCATTATTTCTCTTCAAATATTCCATGCAAGGTTAAAGGCGATAGACTGCTTTGAACTGTGCTTTCATGTATGAATGTAGACAGTGGAATCAATCCACCCATTTATCCGAACTCACACATGCACACACAAACTATGATTCCTCTTCGAGATTCATACCTGTCGTAATTCAGTTGTATGAAGAAGGATGATACAGATGTGTTGTAAAGCTTTAGGTGTTCTCGTTGACGACTGGAAGGTGTGTATAATATTCGGTTGTGTAATGGTGGTCAGTCTCCTGTTCCTGTCATACCTTCGTATCATTGTGTTCAACTGACTAAGGCGTGGACAGATATCAATGGATTACTTGTGGCCGGTTGTTTACACGCAAACGAGTGAGCATATATTTGAGATGCTGGACAACATAGTTGATTGGTTATTGAGTGGGGGAAACCAGTAAGTTTGTTGTGAATACTGGATTGTTCTGTATGGTGTACTAGAAATTGTGGATAAAATTTTACAGATATTACCTACTCGGTAATTAGGAAAATATAAGTGATGAAGGAAGGAATTCTAGATTTGTGCAATGCTTAGTTGTTCGATGAAGGATGCTACTTGTCAGGTTGTTTGTTCGGCAAATTCATTCAGCGAGGGTTATTTTATTGATTCGACCATCGAGTAGTGTAATGTCAAATAATTAATTGAAATCTACTTAAGGAAGGTAAACGTTTCTGCCCTCTCTTTCCTGCACCTCTTTGGATTGAAAAGTCAACCTTCCTTCATGTTTACTACATTATTTCAGCTATGCAGTGAAATAAACTTTCCAGCAACTTACTGAATGCTGATTTAGTATAGTGACCTCATTGCGAAATTGATCAACAAGCTTCGTTCAGTGCCAAGCTGTAAGGACCAGAGGGTTACACGAGTTACGCATTGGTGACCAATTTGCATAAGCCATGCAGTCATGAATAAAGTCGTTTGTCACGTGCCTTAAGTATTGAGTAATCCAGTTTAAAACTACAGGGGAAAAGTCAGTTACTTTATGGTTTTTCATGGGTGCTGACAAACAAGTATTCTCACAAATCGAATTCCACCATCCAATACCGAAATATTGCCTTACGTTATTTTATAGTTCAACATAATATCCACCTATGCTATTGTCTCCTGTCTTAGTGCTAGATCTTTTGAAGAGAAAGGAAAGGAATACTACTGATATCTCAAGAGTGAAGTCAGATTCAGAGAGTTTGAGGGTGTTTCAGTTTCATCAACTGATTCTATTTGCGTCCCTTATATCTTTGCTTTTTAATCAATAAAATGTTTATGAATTAACTGAAGACGAAAGGTCTTTCAGCAGACAAGATATATTTACCGTTCCAAGTTATTGCTTTCCTAATATTCAAACGATGCTTTGATGCACCTTATTCCGTTTTCTTTTTCTAGATATCTGGGATGGTATTTTCTATGATGTTGTGCTGTGCTATTCGTGAACTCAATTGAAACTTATCAGATAACTTGAAATTCAATGAGAGAATAATGTGAACTGACACCTAGCACATGAGTTTCAACATATATTTTGTAAAGCACCGAAGTTATGGTTATCAGCATATTAATAACTTTTACCAATGCTGCTACTTTAAAGGATAAAAATACGATTGTTTAAATGACAATAAAGTTAGGTTCATTTTTTCTTCAAAATATTCACACAGATTAAACTGGTTTAGACATTTACTGCTTATTTTATGATTCCATGTAATTTGAATAAGTTTTATGTACTCTCTGACATGTTTGCCAAATGTGTGTCTATTGGTCATTTTGAAAGGTGTCTATCTCTCGCTTTATCGATCTACCTATTTATCTACTACCTTCAAATTCACTAACCTATGTATTCCTTCTGTAGTTCTATATCATCAATGCATTTTAAATTTCTACTTTCAGCTGAAATATAGATCCCGTCATTTTGATTTATCGTGGTTGATTGAATTGATTTGAAGGGCGGTCAACTGTGAAAAGTTTTTTTCCGTTTTAGACGGAGGAAAGTTTGGCAGCTTAGAAAGTAAATTTAAACAAACAAACTCACTTTACGTGAGGTCTTTGAGCGGGTAAGATGATAAATTAATTTTAAGCAGGTATTTGCGAAATTCACAATTGAAGGTTAAATGAAAATTTGGACCGCGACGGGACTCCAACCAAGCTACGAGCTCCGACTGTTGACCAGATTTTTTTAGCATCACTTCAATCAGCAAGGGTTTTTTTTCCCAATTACCACGTGAATTCTTGACGCGTTACTACGCTTGCTCGTATTCACACTGACTGCCTAGTCATGATTTCTGATCCCAATCCTAATGTAACTGAATTAAAGGGGGGGGGGGAGCATCATATTGATCGTCATTTTGACTGAGATAGCCGTGGTTTGGCAGACTAGTATTGAGCATAGGACAGGAAACCTGGTGGCCTCTGGTTCGAGTCCAGCCACGGTTCAAATTTTCATTTTGCCTTCAGTCATCACCCAATATCAGTACTGGTCTCTCAAACCATGACTATCTCGGATAGTCAAAATGGAAATACACATTCCCCTGCGAGATTGATCCAGCCAGTCTAAGTAGGCTCCGTTTTGAAATCCGAAATGGTCATAGCATTAAATATAATTTGTTCTACACCGCAGCCAATGTCAAGAATGTGAGCTTAAAGGCTACTTGATACATTTTATTGGATGATGTAGGTATGTGGATAGTCATGATGATGACAGATCAGTCCCAGCCTTACCTTAGGTGGAATTGTGCATACATAAGCCGAAAGCTTATTGATCTCCTACCGTTACAAAGGGTGAAGACAGATTCGGATTTTAGGGAATTATTTTAACCTCACCAAAGGAGAGAATAACGTAGCTGATAGAAATGTTTTCCGCCCACTGATATTGATTACTTTGTTTAGCGAAATTTGCAATGTGCCGATTTACCTGCCACGACTAGCTGAAACTACTAGAGATCACATTGATTCATTCTATACTCGCATGCACGGAGTAAGGCTATTTAAGAAATTAGTTTTGAAAAGTGTTGGCAACTACGATTTCTGCACTGAATATTAAGCGATCCCTTATGATGCAAAGGAACTCACGTCTAACAAACAGGCGTTCTGAGATTTCAGTGAACAGGGTATTTCACTAGTGAGTGGAGATACAATAAGTGGGGGAGGGGTTAAAGCAGAATTACTTGACATGACAAGGTGAGTGTCAGTTATAGTCAGCAATGAAGCTCGATATCTATTTTCCAAGAAACGAACAGCATAGTTCTAAGCCATAATTATAGCAATAACTATATCTTTGTTCGGGAAAGAGTGGTTACTTTTACGCCGGTAAGTGTATTCATTTGTTAAAAATCTTTTGATTGCTGACACTAGATTTTAAAGTTATATTCAAGCAGTGTGGTTTCTCAACTTTATAGTCAAGTAATTACATAAAATGGCAGTCAAGTAAATAGGTTTGTGGTATGTTAGTAGAGTGAATTAATGGTGGTCAGTTATTTTATATGTTCACCTTCATTTTGTATTATCACTCAACATCTAGTCAAATGGCTAACAGAATTACTGATGTGTTGAGGTGGTTTTCAACGTGGAGTTCAGCCAGGATTTATGTCTTCACTCACTGAGCTGGGGTGACTGAAAATATCCATCTGTATCTGATCACATCATGCTACTTTTAGAGCTCTTTTAAAGTGCCAGAGTTCAAGCAGTCTGCATGGTGGTACGGGAGTATTCATTGAGGTAATGCGGTAGTTGGAACTAGGATATTACCAAGGTATTCCAAGCAACAAATAGTGTCGAAGAAGTTGACTGGACCTGATACTTTGTTGCCTCACTTGTAGTAGTTCAAAACAAGATTGAGCCATATTTATAATACTTCCATAGTCAGATTGGGTTTGTTCGCAAACGCTAGAACGGAATGTCCTACTTGACTGGACCTGCCACAACTACTCAGAAAGCGGACATTCTTTTTATTTGATACGATTTATTTCTAAAGGTGTTCTTTTTCATAGGTTACTGTAGAATAAGTCTAACTAGTGTGGCTAAGCACTCCAGACAAAGTGAGATAACTGTCAATGCGGAATTTATTTTCAAATGTGTTGTGTACTTTTAGATTTGATTCGGTTATTCCTAGCATAAAGTTTTTCATAAAATGCCAGGAAAGCAGTTCGAATGAGTTTTGATTAGTTTATGCTACCGAGAATTGTTCAAATGCATATGAATTACTTCAAACAAATTACGCAGACACATTTGACAGTTTATGTGATCTAAGCTTGAAACTATTACTTCGAATGTTTTTATAATATCTAATTATGTGTGCAAATATCAGTAGTGTGGATTAAGAGATTGTCCATAGGCAAAATTTCACTCTTAACGAAACATTCGTTACTGCATGTAAATCTGTGCAGTTAATGCACCTTTTAAAAAGTACCCTTTCCTTACGTTCAGTAGGATTAGCACACGAAAATATTCTGTACAGTAATAAATACATATAAAACACTCTTGCATCAGTCGGTGTTTCTTACCATTATTACCTGTTTCAGTAGAGGATGGAATTCCTTCAAATCTAACTCGGATAAAAGGATACTGATATCCGCAGAGTACACTGCTGGCCTGGGGCAACAAACTAACTCTCTTCATTGATCATTTGTAATGAGCAGACTGATCCACTCGTTTCAATCATTTATATCTTAAATTAAGCATATACCACAAGGTGCTTATAACAACATATAAAAACTCCAAAAAGCCTGGAAATCGTAACCAATAAATGTCAACCTGTTACACCTGCGATGACATATACATACCTACTGTTTAAACGTTTCTTTGGACACATTTTAGAGTTAGCACTGAACACTAATTAGTCTGTATATTTTGTATCCTGTAGAAATGCCACATTGTCAAGTGAGAACTAATTGTAACAGATTAATTGTCAGCAATGAATATTTTTCCAGATGAGTGTTCGTGTACGTTTGAATCGTTTCATGTTGAAATCATTCCATTGGCCATTCATAAAAGACTCAGTATTTCGCCACCAGTTTCGGCAACAGGTCAAACTGAAAGAAAACAACGCTCACTTATTGACTGATGTAAGCATAAAATGTAAAGATATATAAGAAGATGCTACATACGAATGATAGCCATCTTTTCTTACTAGCAGTGAAACAAATAAAAATCAGGTTCGTCTGACTTATTATTTTAAACATCTGTTGAAAACATGTGTTACTTATGGGTGTGGCTATATCAGTACTCGTTGTACACATACGTTTGAATAATCATCTGCACATTAGATTCTTATAAAAATCTGAATATTTTTGAAGAAGTTTCTTGTTTCACTTTTATGTAGTATGTGGAAAGTGTGAACATTGTTTCTATGAGGGTGAGAAAATAATAATATTATTTTTAAACGAGTGCGTAGATCTCCGAATAAATTTAAACAAATAAAGATTGAAATCAGATACCAGCGAACAACTGTTTCATTTTACCTGGAAACTTTATAATCTTATTTTCCCTTCATTCCATTCAATCTGATGATTGCTGATACAACGTTCTGTTCGTTAAATTGATTTTAAATTTAGTAAGAAGAACATTTGTATTCGTAATGTTTGACTAAATTTTCAGTGCAGCAGTTGAGGAGTGATCAATATACACACTCTATGTAAACAGAAATACAGTTATGTCAACTGAATAAGTTTCAGAATGCAACTAATGGCTAGACATGTATATTCATAAAAATAAAATGAACCGCCACTCACATATAAAAGAGGCAACTATGATAAAACAAATGTTAACTACTTTTCTGATGGAAAGAAAATCGGTCCATAGATTACAGGTCAATAGGCAATCGATGAATTCTTACCAATGCGTGCAAAGCTTCATTCCGTTTCACTATGATAATGATGTGTGGAGTAGAACAATGAAGGAACCTTTTCCTTAGTCTTCTTGTGACGATGACAGTAATCACAAACTTTATTCTTCGTGGTTTGCTGAATACGGGTTTTTTCTATGGAATGAAACTGTGATTCATTGCCCACTGGTCTGAGCTATTACTTCCATCCCAAGTTTTTTGCAGATACACTCAGTTAATGTGAGGTCACCGTTGATTTCTGGTTGGTATTCATCATACACTGACATCAATTTGAGAAACACTGAAAACCTGGTAGCACTGTCCAGCTGTTTCGTCCTAACTTAGGACTCCGCAATGGTGCACACCCATGACCACTCTAGGGGCCGAACCCAGTACCCAGGAGGGACCTGGAATTAGCAAAGAAATCCCTAAAATCCCCTAAACTGAGCTATGCGCTCATATTCCAAGTTAATATTCAAGTAGAAACTGATTACTTATGGCTAACATTCTAATGTTTATCGATAACAGTAACTTGAAGTATTCTCAAGTCTACATTCATGATAGATAGTGGCTATCAGTGGGATCCAGGACGCATCTTGCAGTCTATTTCGGAGTTATCAGCTGGATGTAGCAG